AGAAAAAAAATTACATTTATTCTCATGAGATTTCCTTAATTTGAGACTGACAGATGATAACAGCCAGGTAACCACTGCTGCTTCTGAAACTAGCTGCTGTGAATATAAAGTTAAGAGCAAGATGCATGCAAAGTTACTGCAGACCACGTTTTCTTCGGGCTGCTGCTAGTAATATGCAGTTTTTCGTTTTCTGGGTTTCTTTTCTACCATCTTTTCAATTGATGAAACTCAACTGGAGACATTCTCATGTAAATGGGTTTAATAGCAATACTGTATTAATAAGACTTCTAGCACTTGGAATGCAACCTGTATAATGTATCATAAAACTGATCTCTGACTTTTTTTTCCGTAAAACTCTTCAAAAAATATATGTTTGGGATTTTTTCTGCTCATGATGTTAGGAGTTTTCATGTACAAAGAAACTACATAAATTAATATGAATAATTGATTTTAAGTAAAAAAATTGTATTTAAAAAAGGTGTTACACTCACTTGGATCATAGGATTCCATAAATCCAAATGGACCATAATCTATTGTTATGGATAATAAACTGAAGTTATCTGTATTGCACACACCTACAATTAAACAACAAGGAGAAACAGAAGTTAAAAAATTCAACCTGAACCCTGTAGTGTCTAGAAAATTTGCTATGAAATGGATCCACTGAATTTAAAGGAATTTGCAGACTCTGGAAAATAAACTTGTCTCTCTTATTCTTGATCTGGCATGCATTTTAAGTATGAAAATGACAAACTACATCATCTCACAGCTGGTTTCTATACCTAGGTGGCACTGTTTCCTTTTCCTTTCAGTGCACGGAAACAGGACAGTGGTCATTAGCTTCCTTTCAAGTTGACTGGGTGCTGAATTAGCAAGACATTGCTATTTTATTTTTCATAATATAAATCTGAAGCAAAGCTGTACAGCACTGTATTCTATACACTATAAAAGGTCGGGGTTTTATGTACTGATGCATAAAATTCAGAGCAATTAAACTTATTATGATATTAACACATGGGTCTTTGAACATCAAACTACTACAGCAATGCTGAGAACTCCTGCTCTCCTGTTCTTGCTCCTGTAGTCTTGCTTCTGTTAGATACAGTCATGCTTTGAAAGGTCAGAAAGTGCTCCTAATTCTGTTATGAAAACACACGTTTATTAATGCATAACAGATACTGCTGTGGGCAAAGACATCAGGAGAACTGAAGAACAAAGTGACAAATAAAAACCCTTTTTAAGTGACTAGGAAAGAGTCACTCCTGTAAAGACAAGACCATCTCCTGCAGCTTCTTACCATGTGCAAACCCCACAGACATCCACAATGCGATCAGATCTGCAGTCTCTGACACGACTGTAGAGAAAAATTCCTAAAATCAAACACATCTTTTAGTTCAAGCCCCCAGAATCAACAATATGGAATGCAATAAATAACATAAACACTTCATTCACCTTAGAAAAATATCTTACATTCTATTTTTCAATGTACCTATTGGTCAGGATGTCTCTCACTCACATTACAAAATTATGTGACTGTACAATAACCTCATCAAGTAAAGACTATAGTTAAATAAGTACATACAGATGTCATAAAAGCAATTAAAAAGTAAAAAAAAACCAACAAAGACACTATATATACTAGTGTAAACTACATATACTACATTTATACTAGAAAAAGTGTAATTAATCTCTTTGTGACCACTGCTCACTTAAAATCTGAGCAGTAAGAGAAGAAACTATAACAGAAAATGGAAGCTTCCCAATACACATTTCCATAATGAAAAATGGTGAAGAATGTTCATATTTTACTTTGAGAAAAAAACAAACTTCAAAAAGCAGGGTTTTTTTACTGAAGAGAATTAACAAACTTCCACTAATAAAACCTGGAAGTTTACCTCAAATTTTAAAACATTTTACAACTTGAAACTCCAAAAAGCTTTGTATAATTTTAGTTCATGTGCTTGTGGAAAATAAAAATCACTTTTCAAGAAGACTTACCAGATATTTATTTGAATCATTCATGGCTATTGATGGAAAATGTTCCTGGATTATAAAGTCTAGCAATTTTCTGTAATATGAGAGGCAGAATTCTTTAAACAAAACTGGAACTTTTGGAACTGATAATTCAAAATTCCTGTTTTCCAACAGCTAAATGTTAATCTACAGCTTGCTGCAAACAGTTAGGAAAAAACTCAAGATATTTATTCTAGTGACTCTTGGATTAAGCCCTTCCAAAAGCTCAGAGACAAAATCTAAAGTTCTATTCACAAATATGACTGGAGGCTGCCATGTAGAGTTAAAACTATTCCCACATTTTTAACTTCTAGAAAGTGATTTCACATGCAGTAATACCAATTTTTTAGGACAAAAAAAAAGTTTGCATATTAAAAAAAAGTATATTACAAGGAAGAATTCTACTGTAGAATTCTCACAAATAAAGTTTTATGGCTGAATTCTTACAAAGTAGGGTTCTTGCCATAGTAACCTGCCATTCCCAAAACAGTGCTGCACAGAACTACAAGATAGGCTCAGGAAACTGGGATACCTGCATTCAATATTGCAATGCCTGTTGGATGCAGATATTTTCAGATCTAAAGCTTTAAAGTAGAGCAGCTGGCTCCAGTACGTGCAGGAGCTCCCTGAAGGACCCTCCTGTGGTCAGAGCCAGCCAGTGCCACTGGCACAAGGAGCTGTGAGCATCCCTACACCTGGGGTAGGCAGCCTGGAGAAGGAAGGGCTTGCCACAACCTGAGAAAGGGTTGTGCAGCTGCACACACAAATATCTACATTTTACCTTCTAATCAGGTTGTTGGATCAAATCACTGAAATCTCCTCAAACTGTGACGATTTTATCAGAGTACCCAGCAACCTGACCCTTCGAGGGGTGTGTGTCCAACCTACTGCCTCTGAATTTTAGCTGGTTGCTCCAGAACATCCTCTTTCAGAAGGACCTTCTCTGAAGAGGAAGCAGAGACAGTCACACGAGCCTTGGCCACTCTGAGGCCCCCTCCAGAAGAGGCAGGAAGGAGTCCTCTGCCATGAGTGCAAGTGATCTTTACAATCAATGGGCCACAAGTACTTTAACAAAACCCCACCCACCCAAAAAAAAACCCCACAACTTAAAATCAGTTCCTTAATTCAGTCTTTCACTCTTATGACAAAAATCTGCTCTGAGATTAAAAAAATAAAATAAAATAAATGATAGCACAGAGTTATGCAGAAGTTGAACTGAATGATCAGTTACTCCAACACACAACTGCTGTTATGAGCTCTGCGTCATTTTTAAGCACCCCAGAACAATTTCTATGGCAGATGTTTATCCACCACTACCTTGCTCCTGAGAATAAATTACCAACTTTTACATATTTATAGCAGAACCAAAAATTTGCCATGCTAATTGTTTGAAATGGAATAAACCACACAAATTAATATTGCTAGGAGGCTTAAAACTGTACAATAATGTCTTACCTAGCCTATTTCTCTGGTTCTGTGTGTTTCTGGAGGGCATACCTCATACAGCATACTTAGGCTACTGATTGATTCCATATTTCTGTTAACTTAAGCTTCACAGACATGTAAGAGAAATGTAGGAACTCACATTTTAAATGTACACATATTTCCAAAACAAACAATTCCTCCTCCTAGTGTTTAGCAACCAGAATTATTTTAGCTATAAAACCCTCTCTCACTTTTTAAGATACAGACCTTCAAAAACATCTTATGAGGCAAGATCTCTTGTATGCTTCTACAAAATAGCACGTTTTCTTTCTAAATTATGGAATCTTACCTTCTAAACAACTTATGTCTAAATTCCAACTGTTTACATGCATTCAGATATACATTTGATTGTTAAGAAAACTACTGTAGTTACTATGAAGATAAAATTCCAACCTTAGTAAGTCCAGTTCCCCAGAATGAGTTAAGATTTCTAAGGATCCTATACGAAACCATGACTTGGCAAGACGTAGCACTATAGCACCTGAAATACAGACCCATGGGTTTAAATGTCAAGAGTATCATTAAAAGAAAACAGTCCCATAGTAAAAGCCACCACGTGTTGTTTCTATAAATGCAGAATTTACATATGCATAGTTAAAACTGGTATTTTTGTAAGTACGCTCAAGGCATAGCAGATTAATATGTATAATATTATTTTACTACACATATCTTTTAATGATAAAGCTTAATTTGTTATACCAGGAAACACAGACAAAATTCCAGTACTGCATTAATATTATAACTACTCCAAAGATTATGACAACAAAGAAAGAACTGACATAAATAACTTCTTCCCCCATGCTGTGCCATCTCATTCTTCTTCAGAGCAGGTATAGATGGTGTAGCAATGGTACAGCCACAGTAGCATTCCCCCAGCCTAATATTGTTATTGGAACAATAGGAAATCTCCTTAGTTTTCAATATAATTTTTGTAATAGCACATGAAAATAAAAATTATACTCCTACAACATATATGCCAGAATCATAATAGACCTGCTCACATGGCATAATTTCTTTAACTGAGATATGCTTCAGAATTATTTTCTCAGGAAAGGTTTTATATCCTAATAAATGAAATTAAGTAAATTTAGTACTTTTTATTACACATATATGATATATTAAAATTCACTTTTGCAATGGAGAACTAAGTTACAGGGCTGCAACACATGATTTTTAAATGTTTTCATTACCTCTTTCTTTCTTAATATTTCCATTGTAAAACTGGTCTCTCCACACATCATCATTACTTACAACTAAGCTGTAACAAACAAGAAATTAATATTACTAATTTAAAATGAAGACTGAGTAATATTTTATATAATTTTATTTATTTCATAGAAAGAAAGATCTTTTTGCTGGCATAGCTTTGTACGCTCAAATGACACAGGCAAACAGTAAGCTGAGGCGGCTTACCAAGCTTCGTTAGAAAAATGTATTTATTTTGTATTTATAAAAGGTTGTCCAACTGTTGCTACAGGGAAGAACAGTTCTTAGAAGTTACATTGTTCTTGGGGAGGGGGTTGCATTTTTAAAAGGTACTGCATTCATTTGGAACGTCAGTGACTGATTAGTGTGATGATAACATTAAGTAAGTCACAGTTTCCCTGAGGACAACAGCGAAATTAGGACGGAGAAATTAGAAACCAAATTGTTACATCTGATAGAGGTCACCCTTTCAGTGAGCCAAAACTGTTGTCTCAGGAACTTTGGAGACAGATCTGGGACCCCTGCCAATCAGGAACTCTTCAAATAGTATCGACACACAAAAAAGACACAATTTTTATGACACATTATAATTATCCATTTCTTCTTCAGTGCTACTCATACTCGGATTTTTAAAAGCAATCTCTTCCTTTCATTTGCCTTTAAATTCTGCACATCCTATAATTTTTTGTGTTTATCCAAATATTGAGATTCGTGAGTACATGGAACAACTTTGCTTGCTCTAAAATATGTCACAACTCGCATTCATTTTATGAAATAAAATACATAATTTCCCTGTAGTTTTCTGTGGGGAAAAAACTCTAATAAATCCTCACAAACGATGCAAGTGCATCATATTCCTCTAAGGTTAATGTGTAGGAAGTTTTATTTCCAAAGCAACTGGTATAACACTGACAATCCAGCAGAAGTAATGTGTGGTGCTATCTTCTGAAGGAGGTGCTGTCCCTTCAATAGTATAGAAGACTTCTTGTTCAAGCCTAGCAGCAGGAAAGTTCAGCTCATTTTGTATGATTCTTCTTTATTTTTGCCTACTGATAACTGGAAACTATTATTCTATTCAAAACAGTTGACATGCTACTTGAAATTTAATGTGGCTACTTAAAACAACCCCCAAGTGTTACATTTTCAGAGTACACTAGATTCTGATTTTGCATACTTCGGCATCAAAATCTTAGAAATAATTTATTTGGACCAGAAATGTGGGCTATGCATATAAACATAAATACATACAAAAAAATTAATTAAAATAAATTATTTGTCTGAATTCTTGCACAGTGCAGTTGCTTTCAACAGTATCTGTGGCTTTGAAAGAAAAATATTATCTTCTGTATTTTTTAAGTTATCTAGTAGTTATCCAAATAGAGAACACTCTCTCTGCTCACTACAAAGAACAGGCAGTGAACTGTTCAGAAGGAGGGAAAAAGCATCTAGAAATTAATCTGCTCCCATAACTGGAACTGTACTGATACAAGCTACATTAGGATTTTTTAATATAATTTTTGAAGACTCTTTTGGAAACTACAGTATATGATTGGTATGTCTGCAGGATCTAGCACGAAAAGTGCTGACATAGATGTGATGGAAGAAGAAAATCTTCAACCTTCAAGAAAAACAAAAATATTCAAAACCAGGGAATGAAGCCCAAATACTAACAAAACAGTGTGTGCCTTATGAGCACTAGGGGAGAGGAGTCACAGTAATAATGCTATTAAATTTTACTGTGTTGAACAGACGCCTGTCAGAAGGGTTGTATCATTTTGTCTGTGTAACTCTCAGCAGGCTCTGCCTAATTCCTGCAGAATACCAGCACTTCTCTTATTACTGACAAAAAAATCCATGGGGGTATCAACATTTGGTTAGTTACTAGTGCAAGTTAATGGACAACACTTAAGAGCTGGCCAGATAGTGGAGCAGCCACATAAATATACCTACATTCTCACCACAAAAATAGTGTTCAAATGGTCTCTGCAGTTGATAAGTACCATTATGTGAGAGAAGGCAGCAGGAGAGCACATGTACACTCAATGGAGCACTGAAATTTCTCTTACACTGGATAAGCTAGAACAGCACTCACAGAAGGATGGATGGATTATATCCCTTTCTAACCCTTCCCCAAGCTTAAGGGCTGGACTTTACACTCCCAAGTGCTCTGCTTGCTGGTTTGCATGAACATCAAGCCCTATGCAAGTAAGGGCCTCTATGAAAACTGCATATTGGCTCATTTTTTTAATCTAACTGCTAACTGGTAGTCCCAGTAGGTGACTAAAATGGTACCATATGAAGAAGTATTCTTTATCTGGCAGTAGAGTAATAAACTGTAGCACCCCATCAGGAACACAGTACTTAAAATTAATAGAGCAAACCAACCCGCTGGGCGTTCTGTAAGGCTGTAAAGCTGTAAGGCTGCAAAGCTGCAAGGCTTTTCCCCACACTTTTTCCAAGAGCTGACATGACCTCTCTAAGTGCATCCCACCAGCATCAGTTCAATAGCTCCCCATTGGGAAGAATATGGATATCAGCTGGGGTTTTTCCAAATGAAGTCTTGCAAACAGTCTGGGAAGCTTGTAGAGCAGCTGAGAGCCAGGCATTCAACCAATTTGCTAGCAGAGAACTAAAGCACACTGTGTACTCAACAGAATTTAAGTATAGTTAAGGAGTAATTTTGTATTGTTTTTTGCACTGAACAATTTGTTGAGGTGACAGCAAAGAAAGGCTATAACCTTGCCAGATGCTTTCCTGATGATATTCAGACAGATTTAAGGTTCTGCATTAACAACCAATAGCAAAGGGTCTCAGGGTGAAGTCAGTGAGTAAGTCATCAAAAATGTCATTTACAAACACTGCACTTCAACAGAGCAAACGTGTTAAAATTAATACTAGAGAGATTTGCAGACACTTTGCAAATACAGACACGTAGCCATGTGGCAGCTGAGTACAAGCCTTTTCTGTAGAACATTTACTTTCTTTAAAGCCTGAAATGTTCAGACATGAAACCACTTGGAACACAGAATGAACTTGACATTTTAAACACAACCACCTGAAAAAAAACAGTTTACTTAATTCTGAGAAAATAATCAAAATGAATTAATGTATTAGTCTTCTTTGGTTCTGAGAGAATTACTTGTAAATTATTTTTTTATGAAATCTCCTTTTCTGCTGAAAGGGTGTTTGCACAAGTAAGGAATTGAGGGAAATTACCTACATTCTGTACTACCTCCAATATTAGCATATGTTTATCTGACTGACATATTTTCTTTACCAATCTTCAAAATTGCAACTAGGTGACTGTGCCAACATGGAAACAGCCCTTTCCAAAATTTTCATACTTCATCTGAATCTAGAAAAATTAATCCAAATGCTTAACTTTAATGTAATAAAAGACTAATTTATTAACCATGTAAAATATATTAACAGGCCTTACTGGTTATCCACAAACACTAAAGGCATTATTACTATTTACAAGGCAGGAATCTAGTCGTGCTATTTTTGTAAGACTTTTGATAAGCAACATGGGAGACAACATTTTTATTTTTAAGAGAAGGAATTCTTGATTGCAGTATCATAAAAGCTGGAGAGCAGAGCTAGTGTCAGATACAATCACTCAATCTAAGCTCCACTTTTTACTTTCTTCGCAAAATGAACCAGGCTTCAAATTAAGGTAATTCAGTAAAGACAGTTTACAAATGAGCAGCTGTGCACCACAAAACACAGACAGAACAATATGGTATTTAAACAAAACAGCACTGCAAAGCATGCAAAAGACAAAACCAAATTGATCAATTGCTGGAACTCATTATTACTGGAAAGTTTTAACCATACATTTATGAAACTGGAGGGACATATTTTGGTCGGATTGCATATATATGAAAAGAGAGATCTATCCTCTTGGAAACTAACTGTTCTGTTTTATTGATGCTCAGTGAAACTCAAATCACAAAATTACCTGTAAATATGGATACTGAGGAAAATAAAAGAAAAATACCTAGCAGCTCTGCTTGTAGGAATTCCAAGATAGTGCATAGCCTCACTACACAGAAATTCTCGCACAGAAGAGCGAAGCACAGCTCTGCCATCACCATTCCTATGAAGAGCAGAGAAATAAGGAATGGGTCATAAAATACAAGTAAATTTCAAAAAAGAAAACATCCATTTTTAGTGTACACAGAGTAATTGCAACTTACCTGGAGTATGGGGTCTTTCCTGACCCCTTTAGTTGTAGTTCCCACCTCTCACCATGCCTGCAAAAATACACTGACATTTCTAACAGTACACCTTGGGCAATGCATAAATCAGCTGAACAGGATAGAGAGTTAAATCAGTCACTTAAAAAAAAGTCACACCTGTTTGTATACACTCCAATCAAGTGGATTCTTCCATCACCCAGCTGACCTGCCCAGCTCCCAAACTGACAAAAATGAAAATCATGTTATTTTCTCCTAACATTTATAGCAGTTACATTTTAAACAGAATAAATTACTTGTAGGTTTTCTGTGATCTACTAAATACAATTTGCTCAGGTAGTCATTAAGATATTGATCCCTAAAGCTGTATTTCCACACTCACACCAATATGAATCAGAAAACCACAGAAAAAAATTATGCTAGTAATCCCCATTTTTCTTTCTCTACCTTCCAGCTATGATGTACAGCTACAGCACAGTCTCTTTTGTTTAAATGAGCCTTTAAACTGACACAGCTTGTAATTTATTTTTTTAATTGCTAATTACAAATAAAAATTTACTGTTCTTCACCATGAATAATCGTACTCATTTCCATGAAACTTAACCCTTAGTAACCATGGTATTGCTGAATTCAGTGAGGCTTTGCCCCTCTCGACTCCTCTGAGCTGATAATGTCTATCACGAATCAGAGCTTGTCAGTCTGCTAAGCAAACTAATGGAACTAATGGAAGTTAAAAAGATAATTTGTGTGTGGTATAAACAGAAGCAGAGAAAGCAGACATGATACTAGGAAAGAACATTATCATTCTCTTCCATCTGCAGTCCCTTATGAAGAATAAATCAACAATCAAAAGGTTAGTAAGCTTTCCTATACTTACAGGTATATATTCACATACTTACAAGTATTACCATGGAATAATTCACATTAAAAGACCTAAACAATTCCACCTAGAAGAATGAGTATCACAGTTACCTGATGACCCCCATATCTATGGGCCAATGGAACAGACCCGAGAATCACTTTCCCACCACTGGCAAACTGAAGATAATCAGATGTTTCTTTGACAGATATATCAAGATCCAAAATATTTTCAAGAACTTCCTGCAGAAAAAAACCCCAAATGATGACTGAATATGATCAAAGTTTCAGTGGTAATGAATGCGTTTTCTCGACTGGTTTTGTTATTAAAATACTTCTAACAATATCTTTTACATCTTCTATTTGTTTAAAACATGTATTGATAGGATGCTTCCACAACAAATAACACATGAATATTAAAATATACTTAAGTCCATGCATTAGCAATCTCTACTATTTAGGCAGGAACAAAATAAAACCAGCCAACCTTAGAAGCAGCTACAAGACGAACTCTAGATTTAAAAGGTGTAGGGTAGACAACTGAAAAAATGCAGTTTCTCACAATACGGACATAATTTTCCTGGATCACATCGATTGGAAAGGGATCTATTAAAGAGAAATACACAATAAATGCTTCCAAAATAAACTGTTAACTATCTTTAATACCTTCTCTCTTAAATGCAATAAAAATACTACAATCAAAACCTTCCTCTTTACCACACGGGTAAATCTGCTTGAAAAGCAATTCCAAATAAATGTAGGACATTACTCTGCTTGAGATTTTGGAATAGAAGGGTTGAATTCTAAAGCTAGAGAATGGTAGAGAATGCCAGTTTTAAATCTAAAACGTATTTAAGTATAAGCTTCAATTAACTGTGATTAGAACAGTCCCAGGGCAGTTTTAAGTTGCACTCGATAACATGCAACCCTGTGTTTTCATGAGACAGAAAAGTTCAGCCTCCCCCACAGCTGGATGACAACAGCTGAAGTCAGAGTGCACCAGTAACTGGGGTGAACAGTCCGTACACAGTGATGGTCACCAAGTAACCCAAGGAACCAGTTTCCAGTCTGCTCTGAGTGATGTGAACAGTGAACTGAAGGCTCAAGAGATGCACTTCTTGCTGTAGTGTGACACAGGCACTCAAAAGATGTGCTTCACTCTTCCTTCAGAGCTACTCCACACTCTGACCCACGGTAACAGAGGACAAATACTGTTTCAAAACACTAGATTGATACTGCATTTTTTAACATCCTTATGGATTTTTGCTTGCAACAACCTTATAATTCCATGTTAACTATAAAATCCCAGTACTGCACAGTAACAGTTCTGTAAAAATTCTAAGTTAGCATCTCCAGAGCCTTGCTGCTAACCATGTTGTTTCCCACTGCCTCTGCTGACAAATCCTGTTATAGCCAGCAGCCACATCATTCATCATTGATTATTATTCTTAATAGTCACACCTAATTGCATCAGCTGAACACGTTATTTCTGCAACGTTACGACATAAATAATTATTACAGTGTATGCCTGAGGGCTGTACCGCTTTGTGTACTTTAGATGAGGTGTCAGGTTATCAGTTTGGCACTAACACGTGCTTGGGACCCGCACGTCTCTCCATTACAATAAACTGCTAATACCAAAAAAAAGAACCCAAACCACTAAAAAAAAACCCCAAAGGGCTCCTTATGGCCGATCTAGGTTTAAAGGGTGTACGGTTCTCACCCAGCCCGGGGTACCTGTGAGGCTGCGGGAGCAGAGGCCCCAGGCGCAGAGCTGGGTCTCCCCGCGCTGCCGCCCGCACTGCCCGGGCTGCGGGGCCGAGGCGTTCGGGGCCGGCGGGGCCCGGCACAGCCCGCGGGACGCGCAC